TCTCTCTCTCTCTCTCTCTCTCTCTCTCTCTCTCTCTCTCTCTCTCTCTCTCTCTCTCTCGCTCGCTCGCTCTCTCTCTCTCTCTCTCTCTCTCTCTCGCTTGCTCGCTCTCACTCTCTCTCGCTCTCTCTCACTCTCTCTCACTCTCTCTCACTCTCTCTCTCCCGCTTGTCTCTCGATGAGATCTGTTCGTCTAAACGTGCATATTGTTACATCTAGCTATATGCATGATAATATCAAAAGTGGATCTATTAACCGTTAATTGATTTATTCTTGATAATATCTCATTGTAATCAAAGTTCATTTCATGTGGTATTTGCCGCTCTATTGCGAAGTCTACATACATTTTTTAGAGTTATACCAATATTATATTAATTATAATTTTTCCAGTGCGGTAAATTTTCATATACTATCGAAGATTTTAATTATGATATACGTGCCTGCGTGTGCGCGCACGTGTGTGAATGCGTGTATGCGTGCTCGCTGCGAATCGATGATGACAATCGCGTGCAATCGAAGAAAGGCACACGCGTTGATATTTTTCCACACAACTCTAACATACCTACTTATTTAAACCTGCATGTGTTATTTCGTCTATCGAGCAGCTGGGGCACCCACGCGACCACCGTACATGGCCCCTGGCACACTAACCGAACCGTATGTCGACAGAAAACGTGGTATTTAGCGCCGATCGAAGCTGCATCTGTTTCGTTGTAAGTATAGCCGTATTCTGTGGCTGGCGATCTAAAAACAAGCACAGCGATTTTCTAAATGTGTAAAATGCGTTGTGAGATTTGTGCAGATTATGTATTCAGATAGACACGTGGCGAGAATAAATTATTTGCAAAAAAATGTCCTTAAAGTGATTACGTCACAAATTTCTAGCACCATCAAGTAGTACATTTGTGTGTTATTTGTACAAAATAAAATGTATGAAAATACAATTAGTGTTTCTGTTTACTTTTTATGCTTATACACCTTCTTTATATGCCCTAATTTGCCGGTGAAAAACAGAGAGACGCCAGTATCTGAACAGTACTGGGGGATAGTGTTAGACAACAGAAATTACCAAATCGTCTAGATTTTTGCAAATTTAACCAACGTAAAAACATTTTTATCAGGTGAGAGTTTGAGGATATATTTAGTAACGCTAGTTCTTACTTTTAATGTAAAAAAATTGCAATTTTTTTTTTTACAAATTTTACCATCGAAAATTCGTGACGTAGTTCCTTTAAATATTATTTGAGATAATTAAATTTAAATAATTCATACATAAATAGATGAATAAATGCATAAATGTATAAATAAATAAATAAATGTATATATATATATATAGGTTACGGTAACGCATTCAAATACAAATAAAATAATATATATAGTAGTAATATATATTGATATTATGATATATATTACTATAATATATATTATATAATATTATATATATATATAATATATATATATATTGATATTGATATAATATTATATATATATATATGTTATATAGTTATATAACATATAACCTAAAATATAATTATTGCAACGAGTATTAATATACGTTATCTACAATAAGCTATTTTTTCATTTATTGTAAAATTATAATTATCATTACATCATTATGATTTTTATTATGAGAATTTGTTTTAAGACCTTTTAAATAAAATCGCATAATAATAATTATCCCCATTAATATAGTGAGCAATTGTTGAGTCCTCTTGCTCTTTCTTTATAATATTATTGTTGTGTTGTTGTCGGTAATCTTTTGGCATGTATATATACATATTTTTACTGTTGCACATAAACATGAACTATAGACACAATAACACGAAGCCAAAATTCCTTTCACAAACATTTACTTATATATATATATGGCAGCATACATACTTACACAATTATTGCAGCGTTCCTACATCTCTCGCAAACTTCACCTCAAATGCAAGCATTACCGCTAGCGAATCCATTCCTTTATTAACATGATAATGTTACGGTAAAAATCTGCTTACAGGAAAACGCCTTTTAATACATATAGTGCCATCGACAGGTAAAAATTTTATTAATAATTATATTATAATAGCGAGCGTTGCGCCATTCACTGTGCTGTGTTCGTCGTTCAAGATGGCCAATCGGTACGCCAGGAAGTGCAGGGGCGTACTGAGAGACGCATAGATAGAGCGAGGCGCACGGAGAGACGCATAGATCGAGCACGACGCACTGTGAGACGCACAGATCGAACGTGACGCAACTCTATTGGTCCGAGTGCGCACGAACAACAGTACTGCGCCATTCTTTTAAATCCGGATGCATATTATGCAACGGAGTGAACGGTTATCCGTCTCTAATGTTTTACTTTGTGTGCAGTCCTGCAAGGTCCTCGTAGATTATACTTGCGCATATCATATAATTTTGTTAACTGTATTGATCGGTAAATCATAGCGACCGGTATACATGGCGATCTGTAGTGTCTGTAGCCCATGATGACGGGTAGACTAAACTGACAGTTGTTCAGTAAGTAAGTCATAGCAGTCATGGGGACATCGATGGTCACATTTGCACGTGACGGGAGTGTGTTGATACATCCACAAGTCCGCTACAGATGCTGGGAGTGAGTCTTCTCCGTCCAGTAAGGATAGTGCATCGAACTCATTGACCCGACGGCTGGCTCCGCCTGGCGGCGACAGGTCGGAAATCCGGGATAGGCCGGAGCCGGTGACCCAAGGTCATTGACGTGCTGCATTCCGCTGTGGTTCATGTTGTATCCATTCATGAAACTCTGCAATGTACAGAAATAAAGGGTAAACTACAAAATACAGCATTCTTTATGGTTAGTTGAATGAGCACGTGATACTGCTATGAGCTCTGTATGTCCAAGTAACATGGGCGCATATTTAGTATCTTTCACATTGTACAAAGAAAGTATATGCAATCAAATGTACACTATTAGTATGTCCTCCGATATGAAGCTGATGCGGTGTATTACAACAGCATACGTATTCTCGAATTTCGCGTATACTCTTTTCTCTGAGCCCTTCCCAGTGGTTTTATGGACCAAGGGAACAGGGGCATTAACTTTCATGCAGGGAACAGGGGATATTGTCGAATTATTTTCAGGGAACGAGAGAGCTCGGATTTTCCATCTTTGTGATTTTTTCACAGTTTTCTGAGACTGTTTACCATAAACTTTGAAGTATTTCAAAGCTATTTCAACACAGTGTGCTGTAAGGACCATTAGGGTCCACAATTATAGGTCATTTTTCACTCCAGCGTCACGAGACAATTATGGGGAACAATGGTAAATATTTTGGGGGGTTAAGGGAACTGGAAAATAATTTTCGGGACCGTGGGAACACAATTTTAGGGAACAAGTTTTATAATTAATGGGGAACAAGGGGAAATTGCATAAACATTAAGGAATCAAGGGACATGCACCCACCCTAGAAGGGGCTCATTTATCTCCTTCCATGTTACCTTTCAAAAAAACGTGAATAACTTCGTTAAGAAATAAAATTTCCATAAAATATATATTGTTGATATTCTTTCGTTTTTTTTAATTAATTAGCCGACCCAGCGTTACGTGCCCCCACCATGCCGATTTTGCTGCTATAAAATAATTGTAGAATAATACAAACATCGAGCATCCATAATATATATTTCCATTTGTCCCAATGTTGTCCACAACTAAATTCTAAATGGGTTTTATCCTAAATTCTGCCTAGTTTATTAGTTATTATATGCGTTTATAATTATTATATTTGTTTATATGTTTAATTTAATTTATTGATTATAATGCAGAAATAATTATGGAAACGGAGATGGCCGCGTGAAATATGAATACATAAATATTACTGATATATAAACGAAGGATGCCTGAACATCTCATATATTCTAACATCTACCAAATTCTTGCAATATATATATAACAAAAACCTCTGGAATTTACTCAAAAAATTCAGCTTATCGATGTAAACAATTCTAGTCATAAATATTTACCCCGTGTTTGTAAGAATTTATTTTGGTTTCCGCACATAATCATTGTTTAAAACACGCTGTAACGTTTACCTCCAAGCAAGATAAATAAGTACAGTATAAGCCAACATAGTTAACGACAACTGCTTTCCAACAAGTACGCATCCTCGTACGCACGCTAGTACACGCGCGCACATGCGCGCACACAGGAACACACACACAAACACAAACACACAAACACACACACACGAACACAAACAAACAAACACACACACACACACACACACACACACACACACACACACACACACACACACACACACACACACAAGCATGCATATATTCGTATATCGTGAGGATCGTCTGTAATTCCAGCAGTTATTATATATTTTCTATTCGTACCGTTGTGAAATTATTCAACATTGTACATATGTATTTCATTGAAGTAAATTATAATGGCTTTCTAAGAATATTAAAATCAGCATATTGGTCTAACGCGATCCGATAACCCCGACCACGCGCACAATAATTACGCATAGTATATACTATTCAACGGGTAGTATACTACACCCATTAAAATGTGCTAGTGTGATACAGTGCTGCGGTGGCATGCAGTAGAAACGAATGTAAATCCATATATTGCGAACGCATGAATTTGTACGAAAATCTTAACCAATTACTATTAATCGATGTAATAACTATTATTAATTTCCCAAAACCGAAATTTAGCGTAGAAATATGTAATCGTACTGACACTTTTATTGCAATCGTAATATAATTTCAGTATAAAACAACTCGTTATGATATGCTAGACTACGTTTAACATAACTGTAAAAGAAATTACGCCGCAAAAACTATTTACAAATTATTCACCGTTCCTTAAAGTGGTAAATTCAATAAATATAATTGCCATTTGATAAGAAAACAAAGACGATTTTACAAGTGTAACCGGAAAATCAGAATACTTACGGAGCACTCGTAATAAATATCAAATTGGCAATATAGCTAGCGGCTGCTTCCACGTATGTGCAATGAAACGATCTAGCTGTTTGTATATAACGGAATGTGTATATCATAGACCGGCTATGTTTATGCGCTGTTTGCACTTGAGGGTTTTTCACGCGGGCTGGGAGGCTAGCGAAGCGACGTTTGTTTAAATCAACGCGTGATCTTATGGCAAAACTATTGCGTTTAAAAACTTAATTGAAACTTTGGCAAGTCGATTATTCTACTCAGTGAACCATTCGAAACCATTCTCAGAAACGACACATGCCAGCGTATAAATATAAGTTTGTGCGCGCGTGAACGTGTGTGTGTGTGAGTGTGTGTGTGTGTGTGTGTGTGTGTGTTCCTGTGGGTGTGCGTGCGTGCGTGCGTGCGTGTCTACGTGTGTGTGTGTTCGCAGAAACTATCGTTAGCTATTATTATACTACTAAACTATATACGCTAGCGCTGATCCCGTGTAAGAGCATTACGATGGAATCCGGCTTTTTATAACCGGCTATTCGAAATTGCCGAATTAAGGAACCGGATTACCTGAAAAAATTCCTATTTACAGAAAATGAGATATTTACGCGAGATCCCGTCGCTACGCTACTGCCACCGTGAGAAATATTCTATTATGATGAACTCTCCCGCGTGAAATTAAACTTGCTGGACGGCTTTCCCGGTATTTGTGTGATACGCTATAGTGTTAGTACTGTGATTAAAGAACTATTGTGCTAATCATTTGACGAAATCGCCGGTTGGGATAAAAACGCTTATGGTGTTAGCGCGCGTTATGTGTTAGGATGGCTATGATGGTTATGAAATAATAATTATTATACTATTAAATAGTAATAAAATTCTTCTTCTTTACCATCATCACCTTCTTCTTCTTGTTCTTCTTCTTCTTCTTCTTCTTCTTCTTCTTCTTCTTCTTCTTCTTCTTCTTCTTCTTCTTCT